ATAAAAATAAAAAAAAAAGGTGTGCAAATCAGACTTTAGTAACTATTTTGGTAATTCAGTGTGTAATGTTTCTTATCGTGTTTATTTATTAACACAACGACTAATTCAATAGTAGTATAAATTAAAAAGATGTAATTCATTATGGCGTCCCGACAATGTACATTTTTCTTTTTTGATTCTACTTGACCTTTCTTCTTTCGTTTTCATATGTAACGTTAATTTTATAATCGAAAGGACTACACGCTACAGCAGGAGGACTTCTCCCTACAGTAGCTATCGTTCTTACTCTGCTTTGAAGTTAAATAAATCCGAAAGTATTAACTTCAGGACCGATATACCTTGGTGTAATCGATAGTTTCTCTTATTAATTAAACTAATGAAGATATTAAGGTAGTTCGTTTCCATCGCGGACACCCTGTACATCACAGTCACCGGTAGGTGATTTCGTTGGCCGTTAATTAATTCGACCCGTTTAATTCGCACACGACGTTCTCTCACCGACCCAATTTTCATTTCCACGAGTTTACCAAACGGACAGCTCCAAATCTATTTGTGCATACACCGGCACCGTTCATATATAATTTGATTTATTCGACCGACAAGATTTATTACGAAACACTGTCGCTTCAATTCGTACCGTTATTAATACCATTGATATCTCCCGCTACTCCCTCTAATTAACGCGTATTCAAAAATTGTAATTCTATTCATCGCGTTCATTTATGGATTAATTACAACTGATTGGGGGCCTATTAAAAATTGAAAGTCAATTAGCGTGCAATTTGAGCGTGTTATTATTTTTCCGGAGTAGAAGGACGGAATAATGAGCGTGACATATAGTCGAAGATAAATAATTTTTCTTGAAAATTATTTTGGATATGATTTTCATTGAAATTAAAATTCAAACGTTTCTTCTTTCGATTACGTAACATGTAAATATTTTTCTATCGGTTGTACCATATTTTTTTTTATATTTCCATAAGTTGTATTCTATTTTTATTCTTTAATTTTACTTCGTTCAATTGTCTTGTTAAAAAACAAAATTCTAAAATTAATTTTGGAAATCCCAACTCTTTTTTTTTTTTTTTACAGTCAGAATTAAATTTCGTTGTTAAAGTGTCCTTTAGCAACCAATCCAGAGGACCATTTGATTTCCCGTGAACTAGTCGAAAGGTTCATTACCCTATCAATTATACCGTTTAATTATGGAGACCGTGTAGAGACCGAGATTGAAACATAAACGTAAATTACAGCCGCCTCTAATCGCGCGCGGTTGTAGACCGGAGCTCCACGTTTCCACCTAAAACGGGCGAAGCGCAGCTGTTTCTAGCTTGCCTTTAGGAAATGAACCTAATCAATTCCGACGTTCTTTCGTAGAAAATATCGTATGTACGATAAAAAAAGAAAAATAACGATAAACGTACCGATAAGGTGAGGAGATACATGTATTATAAAAAAAATACCTGTAAACACCAACTTTTCTTTTTCTTCGTAAATAAATTTGATACGTGTATCAATTGTATTGATATTATAGTATAGTAATATCATATAATTCATATATCGTGTACTTTAGCTTTATTCTCATTTACTTTAGAATATTTAAAAAAATGTACTTTACACAGTATGTACGACGACGTACATAGAATGAATAATTATTATCATTTAATTCATTTTTACGGAATTATTTCGAATGTAGAATCTTTAATGGAATTTTTAATGAACATTTTAACGAAGAGTAATTCGAACGCAATAGTACCAGCGGGAAATTGAGAAACCATTTACGTAATTATGTAACATTTATCACGTAGACTGTGCGATCGTTATTTATTTCCGGTCTTAGGTTTAGTCACGACGTTTAAAATATTTGTATCGCGTTTCAATTAGTTTCTCGCGTTCGCATTAATTCCTTTGGAAAGGCAGTGCTTCCGTTCGTTACCGAAGTACCGTGAATTCGAAATAAACGCAGGTATATTAGTCGCCACGAAGATTTCGAACATTTAGTGGATCCAAGTTAATTTCAACGTGCACGACTACTGCGTTACCGATTTATTATTGTTTTAACCGAGGACGATTCGACGGTGACACCTCGAGCATTATAATTCAGAACAGGGTAAGTATCGTCGAAATGTTCGTGTAACGAAAATGTTGTACCTTCCAATAACAGACGCACAAGCATGCAGAGACGGGGATACAAACAGAAGGAATAACGACGGCACGTCTGCCATAACAAGGAGAATTGTGAAATGTTGTTCCAGATACCCAGCGTCTCTCAAATTTCCTTCTGTTAAAAAACCGACAATAAAAAAAACCCTACAAACGTACTTCGATACTTCTATTTTATCAACAGACACACCTCTGTTTTCTCCATCGATATTTTACATCAAATGTTTTTATAGGTGTTCTATAAAATACCATAGAAATGAAACAAAAATTCTAGTGAAAAAAGCTGGCCTGTGAAAATTAAATGCGGAGTCGTTCGGTTAGGGGCGCGGCAAGAGTAAAAGTAGAAACGAGTGGGTAATGAAATATTTCTTTAGAATGCCGGAAACATGCTTACGTTTCAGGATGAACGCCTAAATGACAAAAATAATTGTCGTTTTTAGAAAAACTTATTCAGAAAAATACTGTAATGCTACATTTTAGTAGTAGTCTTTAAATAGATAAACAAAAAAGTGTTTACATTTTTATTTGTATTCGAATGGCTCAATTAACTTTTAGGTCATTTCGTTTATTTGTAGGTCCTCTTTTAGGTTGTAACTATAGCGCGCGCACACAATGTAACGAGTATATTATTGTTCACTTTATTTACTCGATTTTTGAGACAAATTCCCTTTCACTCAAACATCGATTTCAAAAATCGATTTCTTTAACAGTTATTCACGATTCGAGGTTAACAGACCTCTGATGCTTCGGACACGATCATTATGTCGTCTGTTAATTAAAACCAGCGAGAAGTGTCTGTCGTGAGTCGTTAGAAATAAAATATTGAGAGACACTGCGGCAACGAGGAACTCCCGCAACTCGCGAGCACGCAACGTTCTCCAGCGTATATAGCGTTGTTCCAGCGTACATAAGCTGTTCTCATTCGTGGCCTTAGTTTGCATAAGGTCGAAACGTACCAATGAAACGGAGCATACGTTGGATCTTGGTAAAATCAAGCGAGTAGGCAGCCCGTAATGCTTAAATAACGAATGCTGAGTGTTTCAACTTTGCACCGAACGCGGTGGTAGCTATCGGTCTGCCGGAGTAACCTAAGCACACAGAGAATACACGTCGAGGCACGCTGAGAGGAAAATCGTTTCTGGAAGATTGATCATTCCCGATGTTGGCGGACCGATTTCATATTTCGTTTGTCCGGGACAACCACGGACCACGAATAACTGTTATAAGTAAAAAGAAAACAAATCACGGTGTAACAAGCGTTTCATCGACTACAATCGTATCGGTTACAAATAAGGATTACAATTGACCGAAAATTTGTTTCTCTTGTTGGTAAACGTTGAGAGAAATTTATTTCGATCGTTCGTAACAGTTACCAATCGGAGATGTTCGTTTCGATGGCTCGTTTAAAATTTTTAGCAAAACCTGTCTAAGCGAATGCCAGCTACTTCTCCCGAATTATTTCATTTTTGGATACTCTTGTTATTTATCGCGTTATGTAGAAATGTTTAAAACGAGTCCCAAAGAGAAAGAAAAAACAAACTTTCTCCTCGTCTTCTTATATAAAGAAACGATTAAATCAAGCGTGCACTAATCGCTAGCATTACTAATGTATTTACAGAAAATATAGCTTCGCTTAATTCATTCGAAAGGAAAAATTTAAGCAGGGTGAATCCTTGATTCGCTCGTATAGATTGCGGTGTCTGTTCCCGCGTTCGCCACGAGCACTTTCCGCCCCGCGGAACTTGAACCTCGGGCTCCGCCATGAATTATGAATTCACGGGGGCTCTGTCGGCCGGCGTCTATTTTCGTTCGATTTGAATTTTTACAGGCAATTTATCCTGTCGCGGAAGAACGATCCGAACGCGTCGATGAATTATGGTAGCTGGGATGCCCAAGGTCGCTCGAGTTTTCACGTGCTATCGCGTTCTACGGGACAGGTCTCCAATTTATCGCGGCATTAACACTTTACTGGCCTTATCATGCAGCGAAACACGCGATACATGGAGAAGTATGTCGAAAATGAGGAATGAAATATTTTTGTACGAGGCTGCGTTTTTTTTAGAAAAACGAGTCCAATTATACACGGGTCGCGCGTGTAGGACGGGGTTACGCTTCTTAAAATTTTAATTTAAAATTAGTAACTCGACGATTCATAATCAAAGTTGACTTATTGGTAGTTACGCTAAGAGTTCTATGTTTAACGAATCTATTGAAAGAATTCCAAGACAAGGCTTACTCTTTATATTTAAATAATTTATTTTGCGAGTTAGCTGTCACGAAACCGGAGCCACGGACTTGTCCGTCATAATCCTGTGTTTTATTTTCATCCAACCCTATATTTTTCTTTTAATTATAATATATGGCGAGGTTAGACGAACGACTGCGTACGAACCGATGAAAGAGAAGACAGGAACTTAAACGGCAATTTCGCGATGCTTTCATTGAAATTGCTCTAATTGCAGTTCAAAGGGACCGAATTCGCTCACTTTGTCCTCGTCTTTGTCCTCGCAGAAGTTTTACCTTCCACTGAAACTTGCAGATCTGAGCACGGAAAACGAACAACGCGAATTGCTTTTCAATTATTTCAGACTGCGGACGAAGTTCGCCGTGTTCTCTGATGAAAAGAACGCAGTCGATGGTTTAATGGCGAACTTCACTTCGGCTCGAGGTTGATATTCGTACTAATTTTAACCCCTGTATAAGCCTATTTCTATTTAAATCGACCATCCAAAATGAATAAAGAAACGATATAAAGTTTTTGCAATTGTAACATATGCAGACCCTTGAACGGAACGTAAAAATTTTCACCGAAACTGATCGTTTCTTGTTGTACTCACCTTTTCTCTATCTCCCACGTGGATCAGCATTTTCGCTTTGCCTTCTTCGAGATAGATTTGGAGTCGATCCGGATTATTTTCAAGACCGGTCGATATGAGAAGTCCACGTGGTCTCGTCGTTTTAAAACGCACTATCACTTCCTCGGCTTGTGTCCTCGAATCCTCCGGCATCAAGGCTGTCATCTGTTGCGTTCCATTCAGGTGCAACGTCGACGCATCTGGGAAGTTAAAAGAGTTAAAAGAAATTAAAATGTTACGATGGTTAATCAAGTGGAAACGTATCTTGGACGATCACAAATTTCATTTAAAAAGTAAACACTACAAAAGAAAAAAAAATAAATATACATGTCGAATCGAGTAACCTCCTCCTTTTCGAAGTCGGTTAAAAATACCAGATATCTTTCGCGTTTAAATTTATTAATATTAAATAATTAAGTTTGACATCCACTGCCGGTCTATTCATAAATGGAAATGTTTCAGTGAAAACGTTATTTTAACAACTATCTTCAATCTACAGAAATAAAATTGAAGTGTCTGTCTGTGATTTCGAAATAACGTTTTGAACCGATTTAAACAATTTTTACAGTAACGCGAACGATATAAAATAAATAGTATTCTACGTGTGTGAGATCACGGAGCATACCTAGTTTTAAACAAATTTCGAACGTCAACATTTTCTAGCTTCTTAAAACGAAAATAAAGTAAAATAAAATGACGTGAAATTGATCAATATAAAATTGTATCTTGTAAATTTAACGTCAAAGACTAAAATATTAAATCACGTTGTAATGCAGCTGGTTGACAGTACCGAGTTTTCTATAAAATAGCGTTACGAAGAAAATTCGGTCATACCTTTTCCGCATGTAGGACCGGTGAAGGGTGTTCCTGTACAATCGCAGTGAAACCTGTTCCACCCCTCGAGACAATGGCCACCGTGCATGCAAGGTTGTGAAGGACAGTGGGGTTGTTGGGAATGACAAGCTGGTCTGACAGCGCCTGCAAAATTGTCCAGAGAAACGAAATTACGTAGACAGTGACAAGTGTTTCCAGTTCAGGTCTTTCATCTCTTCGGGACCGTGTTCCTTTCTTTGTTCTGCGAAAATTTGTCGTGCTCTGCAGAAAAGGAATTCCTGCCAGCGAAAAAAACTATAAGAGAGATCGAAGACTAAATGAAGTGTTTTTAATTATCATTCAGTCATGTCGAAACACGAAAGACACGATATTTTAACGAGATAGTCTTTGGATTTGTACAGCAATGATGCGATTATTGCGTATCAGGTGAATTAATAAATAATGTTCGAACATGTTTTCAGCTCTGTTATATTTAACTTATGACAATTAATTTTTTAAAAATTGTCTTTCGTATCTATAATTACTAATATCCAAAGAAATTTCTAGCATCAATTTAACGAAAGTAAGTAGAATGAAAATAATTTGTTGCATTTTTATTCTATAGTAATCAGTAAAAGAATGTTTTTCTAGAAATTATTTTGAATATTGGAGAGATAAATAATAAATGATATTTAAATGATAATTGTTAATATTTCAGAGATAATATTTAAAAGAAAAATTAGAAAGTTGTTTAAAGAAAACCAAAGATTTTGTAGAAATCCGCTAAAATGTTAGTATCTTCGCTTCGTAATTATAAAAAAAAATATGTTCTTTCAATGATAATTCATGAAATTAAAAAATCAACGCTATAAATCATTAATACAAAAATTAATAATAGTATAAAAAGAGTCATAGTAGTGTTGAAGTGCTTTTTAAAGGAACGTTCTGTCAGAAGCTGTGGTGTCCGAGTGGTTAAGGAGTCAGACTCGAAATCTGATGGGCTATGCCCGCACAGGTTCGAATCCTGTCCGCAGCGAAAATTTTTTTTTCCGTTAAAATTAATTTTTTCATTCTAACATTCAATCCTCGTGTCGTTTAAATATACTTCCTATTGAAAAGAAAGTATTTCATTGAAAAATTAACTTATAAACATTACTATTATCATCGATACTTCGTATTCATACCTACATACCTATTTCATATTTCGATTCCTGCGAAAGGTCGACTCCTTTCCCTCTTTTTTAATCGATAATTTTCTCCTTTTGTATCGTAAATAATGCATTAAAAATTCATTTGTTTACGCAAATGACTAAATTAAATTACCTAAAGGAATTGTATGCACGAACCAAAGTATCGTTTGTGTTCTAATAAGTGTTCCGAAAATAATTATATTTTATAGCAATTATTATTATTATTTAGCGCGCGTTACAATGGAAATTTACGTAATAAATTAATCATGCTACATCGTGACACACTTTCGTGCATAGCTGCAGTGCCACGTTTATAGTGAACGTGCTATATATCTTGAATGACGTACAATCGAGGACATTGTAAACATACCATTTTTGTACGAAGTAGAAATGCATACAACGGGTCAATATTTTGTAGACATATCGAATAACATAGCGCAGCTGACGATGTTTATCGACAGACTGCTACCATAAGTTGTATGCATAAGAAAATTACGTAGCTCGTGGTCTTACAGAAGAAATACGTTGTAAACAATAAAGATAATTTTATACCGAATATGTACTTGTACTTGATGCCGATTAAAGAGAACGCTTCAATTAAAATTACTTAAATTGGTAATAAAATAAATGCTTGTTTCGTCCATTAACGCGAGAAGCACATGTTTACGAAATTTTACGCTTCTATTATTTATGGTATCAATAAAATTCCCATTTATATCGAAATAGTGTCATGCCTTGAAATATTTTCAAATAAATAATGCATGTGTTATGATTGACGAACTACGACTTTGGAAATTAAATGACACAGAGTGTAGACTACGTTTATTATTATCAGGCAATTAATGCATCAGGTAAGCTATTCGATAAGAATTTATTTTAATAAAATGCGATTCCATTTCCTCACGAGGGAATGGAAATTCTGCGCTCAGATTAGACGTTTGAATTTTGGACGTTATCTTACCCGAGTCCTGTTGCTGTGCGTAACCAGCTATATCGATTGGTTGACCGTTTATGACAAGATCTCTCAAGCAGCCGACGTAACCCTGCCTTAGGGTACCTGTCCACAGTACCGGAGGTACTGTTAGCGGTGCAAACGGATCTCCCACGCCACCGATATACAATAATCCATCCAACTCTAATTGCGTGGAATCGCCTGAAAAATACAATTAATTTCCTTATTAATCTCAATGCCGATCAAAAATATTAAACAATTACGCGAATAAATATCTCGCGATTATTTTTACATTAACTACCCCCTCCCGAAGAAAACCTTTCGCAAACACTTAAACGTCGAGTTCCAAAAAGCAAACTAAGCACGCATTGCGCAAAAACCCGAAGAATCGTCCTCGTTTCTTTCGTTGCCGCGCAAAATATTCACCGTGCCTTCACCTCGATCCTCTGTTCCACTCGTGCACGCATTATTCCACTTTCACCCCATATTCGGCCGCGTGAAACGTCCCGCGTGGCGAGGCTTGTCCGTGAGATAAGTGCTCGAATTATCGCTAATTATTCGGCCTGACGCTCAGCGGAGACTCGTTGATGAGGCCCGTAATTCAACGTTAATTAAAAAGTCGCGAGAGTCGCTTGAAGTCTTTTATCCTCCAGCAATTTTCTTTCTTTTTTTTTGTTTTTTTTTCGGTACAAAACTAAATTTCCCTCTCGCGGATGGTTGGGCATAAAAAGGGGACGGGTGGGTGAAGTTCAACGCTCGGATTGCCCTCGCGCGTTCAGAGATGAACGTGCCCCGATAAAAATAATAGTCCCTCTTGGCGAGAACCGTTTCCCGCGGGCGTGCCTAATTGTTCGGTAATCTTTTCGCGAGTACCCGCGTTATTTCAAAGGTAAATACGCGTGGGCCGCAACAGGGAGCTCGGAAACGATCGTTTCGGTTGTTTCGACGGTCCTTCAGGAAAAGGGGCTGCGAACGACGCGGCACTGACGCTGTTGTTACTTCTTCTGGGACGTGGGATGAATTTTATTCGTAGATTCGTTCGATCTACTAGACAGTTGTTGATCAAATAAATAATAGATCGAAAGCTGTCCATCTTTCATTCGTCGTTAAATATACGCACACTGTATATTCGAATCTGTGTATTATTAATATTATTCATTTATGTATTATACATTCATATCGTTCTTATGAAATGAAGTAGAATGTGTTTCAAAAACTGATACACAGAATTTTTCCATTAGAAATTCGAACTGTCAAGAAGCGTACGATCGATAATTATAATTTATAATTTAAGAAGTCTGTAATTAGGACTTTACCTTTCGGATTGTCGAATAATTTAAATAATTCTAAACCTCACCAATAGAGACGTTCGTACACTTTAATTCTGTTCCATTTCCATTTATCCGCCAAATTCAATGGCTAGAAAATAGGTCGTTTTTAGAATTCGCGAAAAGTTATTCTTCTTGAGCGAAGAATAAGATTTTTTTCTTTTTTTTTTTTTTTAAGCGAATGAATCTTATTTTTCTCGAGCAACTGAGATAAAGACAGGATGGACAGGGAAATGAATAGGGGGAACCATGAAAGAACAGAAATATTTAAGAACGTGGAACTCGAGGAGAAAGACGACAGCGGGACGAGGGAGAGAGTTAGTTCCCTCTGTGAAAATTGTTACCACCGACAAGCGGATAAAAGCTCCGTGAGCAGCTGAGGAGCTGAAATGCTTGATTTCCAGGAAGCGTCGGACCGGTAACCATAATTTTCCAGATAAAATTTACGCCCGGAAACTTTATCCAACGCGGTACCATGGATAGTAATCGCTGCATTACCGTCGATCTTCCTTAATTAGATGTTTAACCCGAGAGCACTGGATATACACATTATACTCCTCTACGACCGATATTGTTGCCACTTGTATTAAATAAATACACAACGAAGGGATCGTTGCTCGGAAAATTGTCGGACATACATATTTTGTGAATTTTAGAATAATTTCGTTACGGATGTAGGATTCTCATTAATATGTGTTACTGTGTAAATATAATAAATGAAAATCACAAATAAACGTTAGCATCGAAATTTTGTAATATTCATGACTTTGATTGAACTTCCTTGAATTCTCATTAATACGAACAAATATACTTGGTTTATTCTATACTTTTGCAGACTGACTGATACACGTTTCTGTAAATATGAATTTATTTGAGAATGTTTCACTTCAGAAAATACATATTATCGTATTGTTGTAATTTTTACCTTGTAATATTTGGTTCGGTAATATAACAAAGTAAACAGCAAACGGGTTCGGATTTAATATTGACCATGCTCGCACCGTAAATATTTTGTACGCCGTGAGAAAGATATTATTGATCGATAACGATTCTCGATGGGTACTGATATTAAAATGAAAAAGCGGTATAAATATTTATGGAATATCATATTTTCATATTTATAACCAGTTCATCAATATTTATGTTGCTTGAAATTGAATTAGAAATGTTTAAAAACTCCTTTTAATCCTCAAAATTGTCAAGGTTATTTGTAACTTTCCATGTTATTATACCAGATACCCACGAATGATTGAGAATTATATTATCATACTAAAGAGAACTTAAGAGAAACGTAATAATATCATACTTTATTTAATTATCTCTATATTTCAAGCTTTTGTCAATTTTGTTCAATTGATGAAGATATGGCCATATTTTCTCGTTTTTAAACCATCCTTCTTTTATTAATAAATTTCTTTTACAGGTTAAATATCTCCCAGTTAAATATTCAATTACGTGAGCTAGTCAGATAGTTTTCGGTGCCTAGCGGCTTCCACAACAAAATTAGCATTTCTCCTCGGTGTTCGTAATTAATTGATCAACGATTAACTGGTCGAAGGGGCTCGTTATACGCGCGGAATTCGATCGTTACGTTGTCACGCAATCGTACAAATTGTGGTAAACCGGTGTATCAGCAATTATTAAAGCGGGCTCCGGAAAATGGGCGTTTACTTCGAAAATTGCTGATCACGCCGGGAGCATTTCCGACGATGCGCGAATACTGTGCTCCCGGTGCATCGTGGCTCTGCACGTGACGCTTATTTACATGGATCTGCAGTATCATAATGCGCACGAGACCGCGGCAATTTAATATGCGATACGTTTCGCGGTTGAACATTTCCGTCTAAATTCGACAAAATAGCGCGCGAAATCTTCAAACAATTCGGAAACGTAGCATTTGTAACGCAATTATGAGAACGCATTGGTATTTTACACGCGAGTATTTTAATATCGTAAATTATATCGAAAAATAATAATTTCAGAGAGGACGCTTCAGTTATTTAAAAGAGATAAATTAAATTACATCGATTTGTTTTATTTAATATTTTTGTATTGGCTGAAAATTACGTTCCTAATGTTCGATAACAGTGTGGTAGATTTAGAGTATTAAATGTTGAAAGGAAACTTAGGAAGGAAATATCCACATTGATAAGATAAGGAAATGTGCTGCTTTTATATGGACAATTGATAGTCTTAACTTTTTATACGGAAATTATTTCAAATTTACTGATTCAGTGAGCTACTAATTTTGAATAATTACATTATTATTTGTTTCATTAATTTGAATACTCCACGGACAGAATAATTCCTTAATTTTGTCATTGGCCGTTTACAATTGCTAAAATACCTCACGAAATATATTTCTTTTTTATGTCTATGTATATATATATATATATTTCTGATATTGTAATATAATTTCCATTGAATAATTTCCTTAAACAATTGGCCGTCGTTTTATTCGATGTCAAGTTCCTGTATAAAAATGTAACATTTTTTATAGCGTCCCTTAGTATCTTTGACAAGCGCCAGTTACAAGAAAAATGAAGCATCTACTAGCGTTACTGTTTACTTGTAATTATTGAAAAAGGCCATCTACTAACACTGTTGTGTTTAAAAAAGGTAATAGGGATATTCCAGTGTTGGCATTCTGGATTATTCCGTATCAAAGGGGAAGAAGCTCCCAGCGAGCCGACCGACAAACGTGAACCAAACGGGTTCGTATAATTGCTTCAGATTTATCCCAAAATCCGCTGATCTAGCCAGAAACAGACCACCTCGCTGGTGCGGTGTGCTTTGGCGCGTAATTCGCTCCGCGGCGAAATATCGTGGACGGTGTACAAATTTATGCGAGATCCGCGCGCGGTGGCTCCGATCGATTGCCAGGATAATGCCACTGTAACAATGTTTGCCGTCGGTCGACTGACTGTGCCCTTTTTCTGCGGACGAAAAAATATAGAACAGGTAGTCACAGGTACACTTACTAGAATGCCATTCTGGTATTATAATTCACATTTAAAGAATCTATAAATAATACATCTTTAATATACGAATACATGATTAATATATAGTTTGATATTTCAATTAATTTTTAGTATCATTAATCACATACGCATGATTAATATAGAATTCATAAATAATTTATTGCTGTAAACGTTTCCAAGGATAGAAGAAACGATAAAAAAATAAAATTGCTTTCATTGTAGAGAGATATCGATATGTAAATACATCGATTAAAAATAGTGACGTAAATACATTGATTAATAAAAATAAACTAAATAGATTGAAAATTGAGTTGCTTCCGTTGAAATAAAATAATAATAAATAAATTGAAGTAAATCGAAGGGTAAACAACGAATTGTTCAGCAACGACTAGCGTACCTACGAGAAAACCTTTTCATTTTTCGTGGGATCGGATTGCAGGGAGTCGGGCCAAGCTTGCGTCAAGCTTTTTACGTGTTAAGGACGCAGTTGGTCCGCAGGAAACGTTCACACTCCAAGAATTTGCGCGAGCTCGCTCGGGCCGAGGCGGTGGAGCACGGTTTCGAGGCGGAAATCGTTGAAGGTTTGGATTTCAAAGGCAAGTTTCGCAGTCAAATTAACTGGCCGTGTAATTCGGCCGACCACGAACGGATAAGCGAAAGTTTTAACAGAGGCCGGTGTACGCACACGATTCGGACGAAGTTGGAAACTTTTTTTTTTTGCGGGAACGTTGACGATAGGGACACGTGAGATTAAAAATGTTGGTTTGAGATTAATATAAATTGCGATGAAGCTACATTTATAGAGCAATGGTAAAATTGGACTTTAGAACCTTAAATACTTTACATAAATAAATTGACTTTAAGTAAGAATACTTTAAAACTGATGTTGTAATTAATAATACGAATAAAATGTATAAACTTATGCCGGATTTGAAACAGGTCACGTAAATAGCTCGTTCGTTTTTGAAGATGGAAGAAAATGCATTTGTGTAGTATACAATAATAATTGTGATACATTAGCTACCCTGGAAAGTCCAACCAATTATGAACTTCAAATTATAAATCGTGTAAATCGAAATCGTATAAAGAAAAATTGAATTTTTAAAATGACAGTACAATGAACGTTTCCATCGACGAGAACCCTGTAAAATTTGCCCGAGTGAACATCAACAGTTTCAAGTAAACAGGAAACGAAGGACAAATACTTCTGCGACTCGCTGTACGGACGTCGATGACCAGTGGGTCTATAATAAAATAAGGTGTCAAACATATAAAATTCACGATACGAGTATTTTCCAAGTGATCGTAAATCGAAGTATCGTAAATGACCAGCGCCGTAAAAGGCGCCGTCGGAAATCGTCCGACGTTAGAATTTAATGTCGCGAGATCGACACGCGGGGCACGTGGACGCCAGCGTGAACCGGAAGTAGAACAGAATCCGAAAAGAACACGGCGAAAATAGGAAGAACGAACGAAAATGTGATTTCTGTTGCGAATTCGGCCGCCATTATTTGATCCGGGCCAGTCACCCTCGACCATTTTTGCTTAGTTGCTTTTGCTATCTTTTATGATTGCTATTCGTTGGTAAAAATAGTGGTGTATGACGCAATAAGGGAAATTAGGGTAAAACATAGAAAGACAATAAGATACCGATTAGGATTAAATTAATTAAATTGGACCATTGATACTGGGACTTTCGACACTTTCGATTGAAATATTGTATGAAGAAATAATGAAGATATTATTATTGATATTGTTGATAGTATTGTAGGAGTCTAAACGAAAAATAAGGCACGGGGATACGAAGCCACGATCCTCGGATCCACAGTCAACCGCTTTACCTACGTGTTTTTATTTGACTCCTTATTGTTGGGTATGGGAGGCGCGGACACTACAGTATTAGACCCTAATATCTTGGATTAAGCATATCTAACTTTTTAAATGATAGTAGGGTAGATTATTGCATGAGAGCCTCGTTTATTAGCAAGACATTGGTGATCAAAAGTTCTTCAAGCCCAACATTATTTAGACCCGTAAGTACGTAAGTACGTAAGTACGTAAAAAAATTTAAACCAAATTTTCCACACTTTACCGCCAAATTTTTATCTCTACGACTATTCTGTGACTTCCAGGTCTTCGACCTACATCATTTAATTTCTACATGCGTAAATAACGAAGAAATAATTTCTCCTTTGAAAGATAAAATAAAATTCACATAACAGACGGTTAAAGACTGTCTCTTATGCTCTTTTCCCATTGGTCCAGAGGTAACCTACACTATCTCCGTTGAGAATCCCTGAATCTGGACAACGAAATCGATGAAGCATCCGCCATCGGGGACTCCGCGTTTTCTGTTTATTTATCGGTTTAATAAAACCGCGATCCCGCGTACCGTAATCTAGACCAACCCCCTCCCGTGCTTTTATTTACCCCATCTCGTTTCCGTTCTCTTCTGGCATCAATTTCCAAAACTTGTAAATAAGTTCAAGATTGCCCGCGTACAGTTTCGATTGACTTCACGGACTCCCGAGGAGATCGCGAATAGTTTTCAATAGCTAAAGTCGAGTGTACAGTTCCCAGAGAAGGAAATTTGAAAAATTTTAGTAGAAAAGTGATACTCTAAAAAAAATCTCAAAATTTACCAGGAAGCCTCTCGTGAGAATCAAAAAAAAAAATTTTTTAACCGTCCGATTTAGCGTGGAATGGCTCATATATATCACTTTGTTCGGTCGCAAATACAGTAAAACTCGAAAAACAAAAATATAACGAAGATTGGGTTCCGCAGTTGTTTATTAATTCGCCATTCTTCAATCATATACCGTCAAGCAATAATCGTGGATTACTCCCAACATTCAATGGGCGATAAAATGCATATTACACGAGGTTTTATCGTGTCGAGCACAAAATGGACGAGACAGCGAAGGACCTAAGTGGCAATAAAACTACAGGAATGTATTAAAAATAGAGGAGAGGAAGATTTATTACGTTCCACGCACGAAACGGTTAGCTGCACCTGCAGATAAGTGTCCTCGAGTGTGTAACTCTGAATTATGAGTGGCTTGCCCCTCGACCTCGCGCAATTTTTCCATCTTCGTCGTTTAAATGGTAAACGGCCATGTATCGCGGGGAACGTGACGGGTGGGATTAAGAAAAAAAAAAAAAAAAAAAAACAAAAGAATAAATGGAGAAGACACGAAACGTGACGGTAAGTTGAAAAGAAATCGGACGCGAGACAAAGTGTACTCGTAAATACGTTCCCTATTATTTTTCGTGGTCGATTTAAAAATAAATTAAAACTTGCCTACGTTAGTTGCGAATGTTCGCAAGAAATATTTCCAAAGAATAGGAAGGATTTAATTTACTCACCCGGTGTGCGAAATTCGTCCGTCCTGCCGTCAACAGTGACGCGTCCGTCTCTTCCGGCTCGCCTAAACGCCACGTCGTGCCAGGTGGCATCATCGACTCGGTTCTTCGAGGATTTCACTCTCACTGGACCGCTTCCAAGATCGACGTGAAGATACAGGTGACCGCGAAAAATTTCGAACGCGAACAGATCTTGCTGCAAAAACATAACGAATCCATCGTTAGTCCTCGGAATATAATAAATTATTAAAACAGGTTATTCGAGACATCCTGAACTATGTTACGTGTATCATTAAATAATACGCAATGAATAATATTCAACATAAAATGTTACGCTGAATAAGGAAAGAGATATGACATTAAGTGAAACATTTAACATTTTTAAATAGACAACGTTGTATATCAAATGTTATTATTGTTATGCAGGGTGTCCCAAAAGTCGAGGAGGAGTCGGAAATGGGGGGTAGCTGAGACGATTCCGAACAACAATTTCCTTTGCAAAAATGTCGGATGGGGCTTCGTTAAGGAGATATTAAGCGAAAACCCCGACCAATCAGAGCGCGCGTAGACCGTTGGAGCGGCCCCGTTTTCGGCTCCTCCCCGACTTTTGGGACACCCTGTATATTTGAATATCGTGAAAATTTCTAAAATATGTCAACAAAGTTTGTACGAATTTAATACTATTAAAGTGATATTCGTTCTAAATTTATCCCTTAAAATGGTTCGAGTACGCAAATTACACAGCGTGGACGAATGTTTCAACGAGTACCTGCATCTCGCAATTAATAGGGACATATTAACGAATGTATTTATAAAACAGGCCGCAGATACGACCGCGAGCCTGGGAAGCATTTATTCAGGGGGATCCAGTGATTCTGCTAATGAGCAAACCGCACGAAATCTCGGTATCCGCGTTGCAACAAGTCCAGGATTTAACGAGGGCCCGGTTTTCGCAACTTTTCGATTTAATTCGCGCCGTTTCGCGGCACGCGGCGTTTTATTATTATTCGCGATTTTAACATTCCCTTTGCTTTCACGTTGAAATATAACCGTGGGAATTACGCGGCGGTATTGTTGAATCGTGATAACTGCGAGCTGGAAACAAAAAGCGACTCGAGTGGCGAAAACGCATTTACTCGTCATCCGACGTTCACGCGGCCCAGAAACTCCGCCGCGGCGATCGCCGGATCTGCTTTAGGAATCTACTTTAATTTCTGTTGTTAATCGTTTGTTTGGTCGATTTACGTTTCGGCGAGATTAATTATCAGGTGCTTGGAAAGCTCTGCTCTTTGCTTTGTTATTCGTGCTTTAGTGGAGTACAGTTTGTTTAAATTACAGTGTCGCGAATAATAAGTATCTGTAGGTTCGTTCGCATTTTGACTCGATTTTGTAATTAAATGGGGCGCTTAAACGAACAACCTTTGGTAATAGAGATATATTGTGAGCAATGTGTCTATAAAAAATATAGATAAGTAATTGCAATACGTTGTAAAAAATATTAAAATAGAAATTAAGATAGACAGTTTCATCTTGTTTTCTATTTGACGAAAAACTGTTAAAAGCATTAGTAGACAGGAATAGCAGAACAAAATATTTGTTGCAGAAAGTTGTACACCTCGATTAAAATATTTGTTTCCTTTCTTTTTTTTTAAATATGGCAGAAATGACTTTTTCGAACTTGTTATGTAAATACTCGATAATTCATACACGAATAACAACATTTCTACACGATAAAATTTACTGAATAATTAACAACGATTTTTCGAAATATTTAAAAATATTTCCTACGTTAATGTCATCATGTTCCGTTCTATAAACGAGATTCGGAATGAAATTTTAAAAATTGCTCGCTGTAAAATTAGGATCATTTTTTTTTTTTTTTCAGCGAGAACCCAGAACTCAGAACACACCTACCTATTTCCTGTCACTTGTCCTATCCACTGCTCGACATATCGATTCGAGTGCTGCGACATATCGTCTTCTTTTTTCCAGCATCGTTTCTGACACGCTATTTTTCTGTCTTCGTTTCGCTATTCCCCCCCCCCCCTCCCGCGCGCTCTTGTTTTCGATATCGCGTTTCGCATCCGCTAGTTTCGTTGTCAATCGGTTTCCCTCTTTTCCTTTTCCCTATCCACTGTGCAATCTCTTTCTGATTATTCGCCTCGACCGATTTATCGGGGTGGCTTTTAATGGGATTAACGCGAAACCGTTTCGATCAGCGACTAATCGAAACGATCGACGCGCGTCCGTGGACCAGTAATCGGATGAAACACTTTCGGAAAACGAAACAGCCCCGCGAACCGTTCCGCTTTGTGATAACCGCTGCGCATTTTTTGGGGGTGACAAAAATTCAGTTATAGTGACCGTTGTACATTTTTCTCGATTTTAAATGTTTAGTCATTTTATTTGCGTGTATCTTGTGCTACGAAAATTATAACCGACTTTGTAGAAATGTACACGGCTTAATGGTATCATTTAAGACAAAACCGAAGTGAAAGAAGATTGTTTATGCGAAATTGAGAATTCTTATGATTCCATTCTTCTAGGATTCTTATGATTCCATTCTTCTAGGATTCTTATAAATGAATTTCATTCGTCACACTTGTCGTTTCACAATTTCATTTGTGACATTTCTCTGAATTGCAAAAAGCAATAAAATATAATCTTTACAAAAAGGATTGTTATCTACATTTCTCTCGAAATAAAACAATGTTTGATATAAAACAAATATTTTTCTCATATTAATCCATGTACTCGTTATTACAACAGAAGTGTGAAACCATACATCCACATAACCCGAGCTTCATGATTCCCCAAACACATAAACGTGTATCACGCTTTGTAATCATGTTCGAAACAATTTCATATCGCTCTACAGGGTGTCCCAAAAGTCGGGGAGGAGCCGGAAATGAGGGGGTATCTGAGACGATTCCGAACAACAATTTCCTTTGCAAAAATGTCGGATGGGGCTTCGTTGAGGAGATATTAATGTAAATAAATAAATAAAAAAAAAAAAAACAAAAAAAAAAAAGAATCAAACATGGTCGGTACAAATGTGCCCGGCAGGCTTCCTGTCACGTGTCACATAGGGTCAAGTCAATTACCACCAGTTGGTTCACCACTCCCCTATCGAAGAGAGAAAGACCATAAACGAAGTGAAAGGACATACCCTGCTGTGCGCCCCGCTGCGGCTGTACATGATCAATCCGTTGGGCTCGTTGGTACGTATTTTGAAGGATATGCTCTCGGAGTCGGCGGCCTTCCACGGCGGCAGGATCTGAAACAAACGAGACAGGCGGCTCTTAATACGTCACTCCGTGGCCGTTGCCGTTACTTCTGAACGAATAACCGTGGAAAAGAGAGAAACGGAAGGAAGGCCGAGATCCCTCGACGTCCCGGAGAAGAATGGCCGCGAGCGGACAGCGTCGGCGACCCGTCGCGTCGCTTACGGAATCCAAAATTTCTCTGCTCCGCGTCCGTGGGGCCGTCCGGTCCATTCATCATGCACGATGGCTTAAATAATCACGTGTCCCGTGTTCTCGTGGAATTTTTACTTCAATTTCGAAGCGGAACCGAGCGCTATACCTGCAGCGGACGCGGCTGAGTGATTTACGTAACGCCGTTTTCGGAATCGAGAAATTCGAGGGGGAACTAGCCCCCCCCCCTCCACCCCACCCTCCCCTGCTGGTCGCCCGGATGGTTAAATCGTATTTCGCGGGGAACTCCCGTCTCGTCGTCGCTCCCGTCTCGCTTTCCCGCTCGAGACGAAAGAAAGAAATTAGAGAAAAACGAAACGTAGAGATTTCTGGGGGTGGGGGGGGGTGGGGGGTGGGGGGTGGAGAAAAGAAGAAATCGTCGACTCGCGAGGAAAGCAGGTGGGCGGATGGCGAGATGAAAATGTTGACAAAATGTATTTGCGTGTGTCGAGTGGCCGCCGTCGGGAATTTCGGAAGTTTTTCATCCGGTTTGGCGCCGCCTCTCACCGGCGTCTACGCTGGAATCGAGATGTTTCGTTACGCGATGGGAGCTGGGGGTTGCCTCGAGTGTCTCGCTAGAACTCGCGGGAGTCGTCTGGAGCTGAACGTGAACATGTTTAACCGCGACAAACCGCGCCGACGGTGGGCGGGACTTTATTTATTCGACGAATTGGCACGGATCCTGCGCAGGGGGGGAATGTCTGGGTAAGATACGCGGAAGCTGGTACGAGATGTAACGCTGGTCCCGAAATTGCGAGTGTCGTATCGCTGTGTTGGAGTATTTGTAGTCCAAGGAACGATTTACGAAGATAGTTCGCGCACGGTCGCTGTACGTGGTCGGTACGGGGTAACGGAGCACGGTGATATTGGATACGCTTTTTAAGTAGTCGGACGGTGGATGTGATCAGACGGACGATCGGAATCGTTCGTGACGATGCTGTTGGAACGGTGCTCTTAAACTATTTTAGATATGTATTTCGTTGAACAAAGTCGTAATTTGATGACGATGTGTCCGAATATTAATGTATTAATTAATTATCTAGTGGATCGTTAAATAAATCAAATTTACATTTCCGTTTAACAGAATACACAGCAAAGTCTCCACGAATGCACAAATTTCTCTCCCGTAAATGCACCGAAACCATCCCCACCTTCAAGATCAAAGATATACTGAAAATATGGACCGACGTCTTTTCCCACGCACTCTCTTTAACAATAAATAATTTCAACAAAATCGATCTTTCGAACGCGTGAAAATTATTCCCGTAGCTAGACAAAACACAAACAAACGTTTATATAGAATTTGAATCTGACATGTCGATTAGTTCTTTCTCCAAAAAATCTCAAACGTTACACGACTCTTTGAAGTTCCAAGCGAGTCGAATGTGGACTTCAATAGTTTCTACAAAATCGATTTCTCAACCTGAACAAAATTACCTAACGAAACATCAATAAACGTTCGTACAGAATATGAATTCGATAAGTCCAATAATTTCTCCCTAAACATATTTCGAATGCTGAATTTTGTAGAGTTTCAGGTCATGCGCACTCTGACAGAAATACGCCTCCGCAGTTGTCAGCGTCATGTTTCCAGGTTAGCACACTCGAGTAAAAAAAAATGTTTACGGTTCCTCCTAACACCTCGACGAATTATCCAACATCTGTTCCGTCGATAAAAAAGGCGACAGAACGCGCGACACGTTTTTACGGTGTCGTTCGTGGCGTGACGCTCGAAAGAGAAACGAAGAATGCTTGGAAAGAAAACTGAGCGACCGCGCGAGGACCCGTTTTGTTTGATGTGGATTCATAGTGGCAAGACGCGCACTGCATTATTCAGAAGGCGTATCTGACCTCATGACGGAACTCGATTTTAAATGTAGCCACGTTGCTTTGAGCTATCGGGATTTTAATACTTTGAAAATCCTGCTTGAGGCATACCGAACGTTGCATCTGCGACTGTTGCTGCTGCGAAGGACGTTTATCGTTTTCAGGCAATGGACAATCTGTTTGAACTACTTCTTAACAGAGGTTTGTATTTAGAACCCATCAGACTTTCGAATCCATTCAGACTTTAATTTCTTTTTTTAGACTTTCTTTATTTTTAGAAGCTTCAGATTTTGCTGAGTGTTTAACATTATTTTATTTTTTGTTTGTATTAACGCAGTCGTTAAGTTGCACGTGATGTATATTTTGTAAGAATGAGAAGAGGTGGGACATAATACGAAAATAGTTAGGAAACACTGATTCAAAGACACGTCATATTTTGAAGATAATATAATTTAAAGAGCCTCGTAAATAGGATAAATAATTTTTAACAATTCGAAGCTTTGAAATATCGCAGAAATGCCACCGGCACCTTTTCGCGAATATTTCAATTTATCCTTGACGCGCATTCCCTTGATACTGTCCTATCCGCGCCATCTTAATTTAAAATAAGAATTACACTTCCATTTCTGGTAAAGTTGTCCGGGTATCACGAGGTTTGGTCAGGAACAACGTAACACGAGCGATAAATGAATCTTAATGTATTCCTAGGGGGATGCTAAATGCTAAGGCACGAAACTTGCAGTTTGCATTTCGACCTTTTCTTTCCTCGGTTGACTTATTCATTACGCTCGTGGGCGACACCATGGCGAAACTTTCCACGGGACAATATTGTCCCAAGGAACCCACACAGCTATTTCTTGTTATGGTTCCACGTTAGACCGACTTTTACTGCTTTCGCGAAGCGAGCAATATTCTCCTGTGTTCGTAAGAAAGTTCAAAATTCGGTCGATCTGATTTACATCGTTCGGACCAGCATGCTTCGTTGGCTATTTAGTTCAATAAACTTGTGTATTTCTAAATAAACATTCTTAGCTGGGTGACAACTTTAAATAAAGAATAAAAAATAATTTAATATTTCAACGTATCTTAAATAAAATGTTTTAGTTCAATGATGCCTTGAGAATTAGATGATAGATCATGTAATTAATTTAAAATTCAATTATCCTTACAAATCGCATTATCAAAAATTATTTTACGAAATGCTTGTGTTCATTGCTGAATATGCTGCGGACTATTTAAAGTCCGTTATCGTATTATATATATAATTTTTGTACGAAATCTTAAAATCTGCAATTGTTACATGAAATTACTTTTACTGTTTAATACGCTAACGTTTCTTTCTTATCTACCTTTCTTTCTCTAGATGACTCAAAGGTGTGCCCAAGAAAATTGCTTCGATGATACGATCCACCGAGAAGAGTTAGCGAGACGAAGCACCTAAGAGAATATCAAACACTGTCAGCGCAAGTTATTACAGACCGCTCTGTATCGATTTCATGAGAGACGCTGTTTTACTGAACGTCATCGTGGGCCCTTTGTATTCATTTTTCGACAGACTTTCTGTGCTACCTTCCAAGTATTGTAAAAAATCGAGGATTATTTATATTAGCGAGTGCACGAGTTATGTTTATTTTATTCGGTACACATGCGATTTCAGACGACTCGTTTTCAGACGACGAATTGCTTCAACAATGCCACAAGAATATAAGATACAATAAGAAACAAAGAACGGAAAAGAAAGGAAAATATGTAGTATATTCTCAACTAGAAAGGATACAACGATTCAAACGATACAAGAATTACACAAACGTGGCAACACTGGAACTTAAAATACGAATCACATTTCAACTACTTTGAAGTGTACAATTGCACTTGAAGTTTCGTCAGAAATACGAGTAGATTCGCGTCTTCGATAGAATGGAAAACCGGGCTGGAAAAGTTTTTCTCGCAAGTGGTTCGCAACGAAACTGATCGATTTAGAAATGGAAGAGGAAGATACCGAACAAAGAGACCGATTCGAACTGTTCTCCTATTTTCGGCGCATCGGGAATACGAGGACGAAGAATCGCGGTTTGGTAGAGTCCTTTGGAAGTTAAGAAAACGAAGATAAGGAAGAAGGCGATTGCCGTGGAAGCGTGAAACTCGAGAACGAGTCAGTTAACGCGGATACTCCTGTCGCTTTTTCTAATGAGCTCGTTATCTCCCTCGAAACGCTTATTAATTGCTTACCTTGTTAATTAGAAGAAAAATGGCGCACCAAAGAGGTTTTTCCACCCCTTTGTCTCTATTTCCATCTCGTACCTGTCACCGGCCATTGAAATCTACTTTTGTCCTGTCGATGTGTTGCGCGGGTATAGATTTACGTATTTTTAATTAAATAAGGAAACTGTGGGGCGGCTAATTAAAATTAACGTTAACGATATCGCGATGTTGCGCTTTCACAGAATTTTGTTGTGGACGTGAATTGCAAAGGAAGTCCGATTTGTAATAATCGCGTGTAAAAGTCGAACCAGGTGTGATTATTTATTATTAGTTCGTGATTGAAATTGGAAATGGACGTTTGTTACAAATGGAATGATTTATACCTGTATTTAGTTGTACTATGTAAATATACACAGTGCAATAAATTATAGAGGTTGGCAGAATTTTATGTCGGATTACTTCAAGTTTGAATGAATTCAGAAATGCTTGAAATATTAATGTAAGAAATATACATAATTATAGTACCTAAATAACTTTAATGTTGTCTCATGTTTCATGTAAATGTATATATATATATATATATTCTGTCGGTAATGTGGCGCTCTTTGCCAACAGAGATCGGTAGTGTAGGTTACTCTATTCCTAACAACTACTTAGAGTTCTGTACTACCGGTCATTATCGACAGAATGCACTATGTTACTGGCAGAGTATTTTAATTTATCGACAGACTGCAGCCCGTCTCTTGTGCACCTCGCCGCTCAATTCAAAGTA